ATTCTGGGCTACGTCGACTTCGTGTCGATTCTTGCCGCCATTGGTATCACCATCATTGGCACTGGCATCAGGAGCGCTGATGCACCAGGTGGTCTGTCCGGAGTGGAGTGGTCCGCCTGGCCCCAGGAAGGGACCACCTTCACTGATGCGTTCATCGCCATCACCAACATCGTTTTCGCGTACAGCTTCGCCATGTGTCAGTTTTCCTTTATGGATGAGATGCACACCCCCAAGGACTTTGTCAAGTCGATCTGGGCCCTGGGTCTGGTGGAGATCTTCATCTACACTCTCACTGGTGCGCTGATCTATGCCTTTGTCGGCATGGACGTGAAGAGCCCTGCGCTGCTGTCTGCCGGACACACCCTCAGCCGTGTGGCTTTCGGTATCGCCCTGCCTGTCATCTTCATCAGTGGCTCCATCAACACCGTCGTCTGTGGCCGTCTGATCCACGGACGCATCTTCAAGAACTCGCACATCCGCTTCATCAACACCCCAACGGGCTGGGCCACCTGGCTCGGTCTTATCAGCGTAATCACCATCGTCGCATTCATCATCGCTGAGGTGATTCCTTTCTTCTCCGACCTGCTGTCCATCTCCTCTGCCCTCTTCATCTCGGGCTTCACCTTCTACTTCCCTGCTCTGATGTGGTTCCTCCTCATCCGCGAGGGCAAGTGGAATGAGCCTAAGAACTTGGCCCTTGGTGCCTTGAACGTCTTCGTCCTGATTATTGGTCTTGTCACCCTGGTCGGTGGTACCTACTCCAGTATCGATGACATTGTAAGCATCCTGCCTTTCTGTCATTTTCCATCAATTACTAACTGCGACACTAGATCATCAACTACAGGGAGGGCACTGTTAGAGGTGTTTTCGCATGCCGCATGACCTAAACTTTGAATCATCAACAGCTACGGTTGAATCTGCGCTGGTTGTATCATATATGAACGGCTCAAGACTTGTTGCCGATATACCACATTTCCCTTCCCAGTTTATGATTTAGACGAGCCACCGGCTGGCTCAACATAGATGATGTGCATGTACATACTGCGTTTATTTTGATATCTGAGCAAGCGAATCATGAATCTATTTCTCTACATCTGACCATTCGTATCTCGCACATTAGTGCCTATAACCGATTGGCGATTCGATGTCTGGTAAGTGGTAAGAAAAGTCAGACAGCGCCTAGACTAATTCCCCTTTCATTTCTGTCACCAACCTTAAATAAGTGAGCAGACTAAATTGGTTTCCCTTGATTTCACCAGACTAATCACCATGGGTCGGTAGCGTGAACCACGGTTAAGCTTCAGTCCGGAATATTCTAGAAAAACTCTTACAAACCATCTCTGAATGGTGCCAAGTAGTTAGCTGGTGGATCGAACTTACGAACCCAGGGATTCCAAACCTTTGAAATGCTGTCAAATTCGCCATCGGGCATCGGCTGGAGACACTCGGGAAATCCCGGGTGATTGTCTTGTCTGACGAGGATCAGCTCAGTTTTGCTTCACCGGAGTTTCATTTTAGTCTGGTTCTCGTATACGTAGTCTCCTCCCATCATTCGCTTGAGATGATGGGCTAAAACGATATCCATTCTGAATTGCAGTATTGCTGATCGACGCTGCTCCGATTCGTAGTGGTTATTATTTGGCACTATGACACTCAGTAATAATAATGATGATTACTTAGAGTATGTCCCTTGTAAGGATCCACTGTTCCACTTGCACTACACAGGGATACTTTGGGTACTTTAATGTTCCCACTCTTATCATTTTGCCCTCTGTCCATTGAAAGTGTCCTATTGGCCAGTCATGTTGCATGACAGTATCCTCAAAGTAAGTGATCTCATTGTCCTCCTCCCACTCGACTATGACTTGATTTAAACAACTTGTCCATGCTGATCCGCACACATAGAGAGGTATGGCTTCACGTCATACTTTCGTCGATATGCATTATCCACATGCACCAGGAAGTAGGTTCCTGGGGCAAGGCTCTCGACACTTCCCTCGGGAGTGTAGCTACTCTGCTGATATGCCTTTTCGCGGAGTTTACACATCTACATAGTCAGCCGATGATCAGACACGCACATCATAACCAACTCACCTGATCATAGAATTCAGGCGACACTGCTGTCCGAGCGCTCAAGCGATCATGCAAGCCAATCTTCTGCGCTATCTCGGTCGTGTCGCCCTTGACACGGAAGCTGAACAATGTGCTAGCCAGACCGCTGCCGTAGCTGAACATGCCGATGCGCTTGTCCTGCAGTCGGTCGCTGGGGACATTGCTGATCAGGCTGATAAGACCCGCATACACGCTGGCGGTGTACATGTTGCCGCAGTTAGTCGGGGCGCTCAATGACGGCTCAACGCGTTCGACGAATCGGTCCTTGGCGAGATTGACGCAGAGCTTCTCCAGGCCCTTGTCCGTCAGCGAAGCGGTAAAGTCCGCTTCTTGGACTTGTGCCGGCACCTCGTCAAATGACCCCGGCTCTAATTTGAAATCGTTGAACAGCAACCGGCCATACCCCTTGGCCACCAGCTTGCAGTTTGGCGCGTGGAAAACGAAATAGTCAAAGGTATCAAGGAAACTGCCCTTGTGTCTGTTGCTGATGGCCACCCCGTTTGTCTTTGCCTCTTTCCGTGCGTGCTGCTTGGCCTGATACCGCTGGTAGCATGCATCCAGTGCGCCCAGGTAGCAGCTGTTGGAAAACTGCCCGTCCACCAGCGGGTACTCGGATTTGAAATCCGCCTTGTAAAAGTCATAGACGTGCTTCATGCAGGAACCCCGGACCGGCTCCAGCACCAGAGGAGCGTCCGGACCGATGAGCATGGCCACGCAGCCTGCACCACCGGTGGGACGCGCCGCTGGCGTCTCATATATGGCAATATCTCCCGCCACAACGATGGCGTCGCGGCCATCCCAGGCCGAAGACTCGACCCAGTTTACTGCATTGAGCAAGGCGTTGGTCCCGCCATAGCAGGCGTTGTATGTGTCGATGCCCTCGATGTCAGTGTTGTCGCCGAACAGCTGCATCAGCACCGTTTTGCAGGACTTGGCTTTGTCCAGCAGAGTCTCGGTTCCGACTTCGAGACGGCCGATGGTGTTGGGGTCGATCGAGTACTTGCGGAGAAGGGAGGATACAGCGGTCAGGGCAAGAGAGTAGAGATCTGAGCTGTGAGTTGTTGATGCTTCTTCCATCGGATGGTTTGCTTACCTTCACGATCATCACAGAAGCTCATGTTCTGTTGACCGAGTCCGATGGTGAATTTCCCTGCGCTGGCTCCGAGGAATGTCTCCAGCTCCGTCTGGGGGACGTACTGCACTTCCGTTAGCCAAGCTTCTTAAGCAACTGCAACAGGAGGGACAATGCTCAGGGCGAACTTACTCGGCTAGGAAAATAAATCTCAAGGGCTTTGATACCCACGTTCTGAGCGGAGGAGGGCATGCTTGGTCGAACGACTGATATTCTTGACTCAATATTTGACTGATGGAATTGGGTGCAGACACTGGATCATCAGATAATGGAGAGCAGCTTCAGAATGCAGTTGATGTATTTATAACATTCATAACATCGATAACAAGGGAGCTGAGGGGTCAACTGCAGGCAGCTGTGATGGGTCCTACAGTGTACATTGGAGCATCATCTGCACCTCTTCGCTGTTCCTTTCCACCGAGACTAGACCCTACCTTGCCTTTTGGGCTGAAATGTTGCGTTACAAGTAGATGGATAAGTTAATATAATTGGACATTGGATGTCAATTTGAACTGGGTTCTCGTATGGTGACGGCATCTTGCCTTACGGTCTATGTAGGCACAATGCTGTTGTTGGACCTACCAACTACCCGCAAAAGACATTACAATGACACTCCCTCTGCAGTCAATAGAGAAAGGACTTATAGTGATAGGATATTTGACAGAGATCCAACTGTAAAGGGATTATTTGGGTGAAAGATTTACCGGGATATCCAAGACTTATCGCGCCTGGATATATTTTGAGAGTCGTGGATCATCTAAGAACCCCTTGCAGTTTCCTTTCCTTTCAGGTTCCCAGACATCATGGGTCATATGAATTTGGGAAATTCTTGATCTCTTGCTCAAGAGAGGTGGACAGCCGAGGGGGATGTATTCCATTCGCCTCGGGTAATATCAGTATCGGTTCTTGCTGTCCTAATGAGCTACTCGTGCGTCGCTAAAAACACTAAATACGAAAGGACCAGATGTTTATTCTAGAGTGGATTGCATATCTATTTCCCTCAGCCAGTGTTTGCTAATCGCCTGGAACGAACAAGTCCCGCACCAAACAGGCAGAATTCCATATATTCGCGCTATGTGGCCGGTTCATCTTCTTTCTAGAGCTCTGCAGGAATTAGACTGGATCTACTGATGCTTGTGCGTCCCTCCTACACGAGACTCACCGAAGTCGCAGAGCACAGTGTGACCCACGAGTCGTCCTTAGGCTGGTTAGATGACCAGCTTAAGTAAATCGTGCGGTGGTTGTTGGTACCTTTCGACGGGATGGACTGTTGTTTACTTCATTTTCAGATCTGGCAGCATGCTTGTGCCGTTGATAATCTAGTTCTGTCCGTGGTATCGACGTGTGGAGGCAGGATATCATTGATCCTGAGGCATTGCTTTCCCGTATCAGTCTTCAATCTTCAGCTCCAGCTTGGCCATAAGGTTGACCCGACAGGATCCCAATGGCCAATACTCTTCGGGGTTTTCCTATTAACGCTGAATATCTGTTAGACATTGACGATCTTTGTTATCCACGGTTTTATATCAGAGAATGCCATATAACTTTACTGCTCACAGCTGAGAATCGGAGATTCCCTTATAATTCATGTCCATTACCTGTTATATCGGAGACTCCCTTATAATCTTCACAAAGAAGGCCGCATTCACTTGCTGCAGTAACATCCACGTGATATGAGTATAGATCTATATAAACCATCTTCATCGACCTGCTTCCTTCTTCACTCTTCCCTCTGCAGAGACATAACAGCAGCAAAATGTCTTCTCCCGTAGACACGGCTGTCGTGGTCTCATCGTCTCCTTTTCTTCAGCATGCGGACATGCGCGAAGCATCCCCTCTATTCTCGTTCAATGTGCTTCCATTAGAGTGCCGACAACAGATTCTATGCGACCTTCCAGACATTGAATCGCTCAAATCCGCCATATTAAGCCATTCCGCCGTGTACTCGGCTTTTTACAATCACAAGACTGCAATCATATTCCAAATCATTCAACGTCACATACCCAGAGGGCTACTCGCATACGCTGTCCTGTGCTCCCATGCTCGGAATATCGAGCTGTGGACGAGGGCAAAAGTCCTCGATATCCTAGACCTGTACTTCAACCGTCGCCTGGTCGACTCGTTTAAATGGACTATAGGACGGGCTCTGGCTCTGGTGACGTTCCATGAAAGTGTGACCTTTTTCACCAGTGATTTTATCGATAACGCCCTGGGTCTCGTCGCACCTTTGAACTTTCCCATCCGCCCCCCCTCCGAGACCGAGTGGTGTCGTGTCGCGAGGGCATTCTACTTACAGGAAACGATCAACCATCTCTTCTGCTTCCGGAACCGAGAAGAACGCTGGATTAGTGGCGGCATCAAATATGCACGTCCATCGCCCTCTGAATTCCGGCCTCGGGAAAAACTTGAAATATTCTTCAGCAAGCACGCGCCCTGGGAGATGGAGCAAATCGGCGCAGTTAATGAGTACTTGTACTGGAAAATCTCACCAGGTATGTCTATTCCCTGCTACTTTCCTTTTTTTGTTCCGGTTGATCTCTCCTGTTGACTCTCCATGTCACATCTAGCTTTTAACCACATCGCAGCGCACGACGTCGAGTTGGGTTACTATACCGTCTATTTCTCAGATAACGAGACATGGGAGGCAGCTATGGGAAGCCAACACAAGAGGGGTTTTGTAAGTAAGCTCTCAGTCCCACAATATGACATATTTCTAACTGTTTGACTAGCTGCTGAAAGGATTGACAGCCCTCCATCGATTTGTCACAAGAGCCAACCACAACAGCCGCCTCGGGCTTATCTCGATTCGCAACTCGCGTTGCTCAAACTGGCTTTTGCGCAATGAACTCGAATACTTGCAGAGACTCTCTGTACAGGGGTTTGGAGCTACTTTCTACAGGGACCTCGCACCTGAACAAATTGCCGAGGTCGTGGGAAACCCGTTTGCGTACGACAACGACTGTGGCCCCCAACAGGCATGGCAATGGGCCCACCGCGATACTCGTTGCTGTCAATTAATTTGTTCGAAGGAGCATCGTGAGCTTCGGCGATTTGGATATGTCATGTGGGACAACCAGCGTCTCCAGCAGTGGAGAGCTCTGGGGACTCCTTTCCAGGCGCCTCAGCAAGACGATGGCAGTCAGGCGGGGAGACGCTGGATGGCCATGTGGCCATTGATTGAACGAAGACGAAGGATGTACGTACATGGGGCGCGCGGTTGGTGGGACGGCGAAGATAGGGAAGAAATAAGATGGATTCACGGGGTGAAATCACCAGAAACCCAGCGGAGACTGTTGCAGTAGCTGAAAATTGATCACTACGGGGCGTTGGCAAATAAAATCTTAATCTTGTATTTTGAAGTCACATAGTGATGTCTTAAACATAATGTTGGTACACAATGGATAACTCATTAACTAGTGGGCAATAGCACATCTCCAGCATTTGAGTCTCAAGGTAACCCACAATAAGTACTCCGTTACCTCTAGAATCAGTGACAGCTATGATGTCCCTTTGCAGGCTGTGCCCGTTGGCTATACTGCGACCAAGCTAGTAGACATGCACAAATAATTGCTCGTCGTAGGTTGCTCTTGTTGAGGCCTTGTCGACTGATGCTCCACGCCAGGGTCAAGACGGAGACGGCCAAGAAGAAGGGCCGAAGTTTTTGAATGCCTGCTGCGGTCACTGAACCCGCAAAGACGAAATCTAGAACTGTCTGAGTAGCAGTTAGTTGAGGGCTCGACTATAGGTATATGTTGGAACGAACTGGTAGCCAGCAGCACGAACTGGACAGCAGTGCTGACCCTTCCGGGAGAACCGCTGACATCCACTGGAGGGCATGGGCAGTGAGACCCTGGGCTTTGGAATCGGACTGCGAGGGTTTCTCGGAGGAATGACAATTATTGCACGACATTTTGATCTTTGATGCAATTGAAATGCCAACTGATCAGAGTCTGGAATTGACGTTGGGTTCTTATAATGTGGCCAGGCTGTTATTTCCGCCCTAGCGGAGTTTTGATATCCAGCGCGAAAGAATTGCCAAATCGGGTTAAACAACGCGATAATCTCTCATACTACGGACGGAGTAGAGACTGGGATTTAATGGATTTGACAATCGAGGTCATTTGATAGAGAGCATCCTTAAGATAATCTGACTGAAATGCTTGAGACAGGGGTTCAATGATACATAAGTGTCTCCTGCCTAGACATACCTCCATCCCTTTCTCAGCCACCCCTTGATACCAAGCTCTTCTCGTCCGCGTTACAACTTAACCTTACTCTTATCCCTTGATCACCTTCTGCGATTTGTAGACAGTTTCTCTCTCCTTCTCCAGCCCGCCTTTTGCCGACATCCCGTCCTCCACCAAATTCTCGCCATCCACTACTGTCATACTCGCGTTTCGAAGGTAGCTCAGCTCAATGCTGACGACAGTAAGAGGAATGTGCATCTCCGGAAATTCCAGGAGGATATTAGCCTGCCTGTAGAGACGGCGTTTAATATTGCGGCCGTAGTGGGAATCATTCTCAATGCGATCTTGGAGACTCGCCTCGAGCATGCATCTATTCTTGGTCGGTCACACTGATGTCGTACGGTTTTACGGGGTGGTCACCAGCGAAAGCACTTGTTTAGAGATTATAATCGAATAAAGTTAATCTAATATAAATACACTATAGTACAGATGGGCGTCATAAGTCGGGTATCTCATCATAGCTCATATGCAAAGTCCTTAATAATAAGCACGACGATGATGGCTTCCACGTCCATCAGTGCCATGCATGCGGCGAGTGCCAGCGGCCTATAAGACCAGTCAGCTATCATTTACGCGATAAACAGCGACAATCATACCTTTACCGCCGGTCGGTGTGTCAAAGTGCCTTTTAACTTCAGCATAGCTCCCGACACCTTGTCTCCCAATGTGACCTTTCGACGGTGGTGATGTACGGGAGCAGTGGCCTTGGTACGACCGTAGGCGCCACCATGACGCGTCGTGGTAGTCTTCGTCTTGACTGTCCGAGTGCGAGCACTAGGACCACGAAGACGAGTCAGTAGACTGGGCTTAGAGGTACGAGTGGTGGTCGTGGCGGGACGATGACGACGGAACATTGTGATAGTTGTTGTACTTCTGGTAGATGTCTGATGGAATGGTTTGTGTAAGAATTTGGAACGGATAACACAACTTGAGATGGATAATACTGAATGGTGATCTTTATCTCCAGATTGGTGTAGTTTATATAACATCTTCTAACCTTTTGGAAGACATCATGGTGGGTGACACACAACGTATGCCAAGGGATCTACATCTTCCAGCAGGTAGTATGACAGCCCGCACGTCATTTGGGATCATCACTACGTTGGCCACGCCACTATATTAGTCTATCGGTGCTTAATTAGTATACTTAAATTATAGACATGCAAGGATCAATCCCAGGAGACGCCCTTTTGTTCATGGTCCCCCGATATAGATTGGGCGAGAATGACGTCATCGTGGCTGGTGGCTATAATGTCCACTTCGCCGCATGGCTGTCAAATAAGATGTGTTATGAAGTAATGTGGTATAAGAAGGTGTAGCGAATATCGCTCTGATTAGTAGGAACGGTGGGTAGGTGGTGGAAGAGCTTTAGGCAGATGGATATGGACATCCTACCTCTGCATAACTACTGTTGGGCAGGGGAAAGTACAGCCACAAAGACCACTAGAACATGTTTTATAGAAAATCTGTGACATATTATAGAAGCTCTCAGATTAATAGCACATCGCAAAGGCATAGTTACAGATTACCATTGCACTTCGGACCCTAGTTTGAGATCTTGTCCGCTGGTCAGACGGAGCTTTATACCATTAACGCGTACAGGCCTGTTATTTCAATTGGCAAAATACAAGTAGAATGCAGATCATGCAGCTGCCTCCATTGCCTTCATTGTCTCCTCCAATGCAGCAAAGTTCCTCTTCATCGCATTGGCAATGGACTCCTCCCCCGTCACCATGGGTACTTCAACGGCCCCTGAACCAACGATCCTTGCAGGGCTGGTTGAAATACGAGATGCTATACTGATCTCCAGAGTAATCACCCTTGACTGAGGGCACCTTCACTGGATGGAATTTTGATTTGAATCTGTCGCCTGACTAGGACATCAGCAGATCGCCGATGTTGAAGGCAATATTCGTTCATCACCGATTCCAAAGTGGATGACCACTACTGGACCCGGACGGATTTCAAACATACTCTATCCTTCGTTCTAAAATGGAACAGTCGAAAAGTCCCAGTCCGCATGCGCACAGGGATGGTGCTATGTCTTTCTGTCCGACTCTTCGGGTAGAGCAAAGTAAAGATGCATGGTGATCTTCTCTACCGCCCCCTTGTCGGGAAGAACATCCTCATGCCACTGAAGGGGACTGCTCATGAATATGGGGACCCAACGTTACTCGACATTTAATGATTGACCCAGGGGATTACTGACCGATTTCCCGATCTCCCAGTGGCAGTGAGCGCGTAGTGTCATTTCGCTTAGTGTTATTTTATTACTGCGCCGCATCTAATTCCCAATAAGATCAAGCATACATGTTGGTTCCCCACTTTATCCTTGTCTCTCTAATTGACTATGACCACGATGTAACGTCGATACTAGTCGTGTATGGCGAGGCTGAAATCCCCTGATTGCCTTGACACTTTTCGACGCTGCGCCGCAAATCGGTTCAGACCTAGATTTCAGTCGGCCATGAGATATGTAGTGGCCTATGCCAGTGCGCTATGCCTATAGCTGGAGAATATACATCATGAGGAAGGGACTGTTGTCCTTGCTCTCCTTTGTCTTTGAGACAAGCAGTGCCATTGCTCTTCGCAAAGGAGATAGCCCGGCTGTTGTCGAGCTCCGACTCAATCGGCAACGGAGCGATGACGTTCTCGAAATACATCGCTCTCCGTTGAAGCGCACCTCGATACTCTCTGAAGGGCTACTAAATGAGGTATGTCGCTTTGAGCTCACTATGACACCCGAAATTAACGTCACAGGATGCCATGACGCTATACACAGTCAATGTCACAGTCGGCAGCTCAGAGCAAGAGATCGCCGTGGTACTAGACACTGGAAGCAGCGACACCTGGTTCAATATTCCCTCGTCGAACTTTTGCCAGAACATGGCAAATGACTGCGAACGGTATGGGATCTATGACAATAGCTCATCCAGGACCTACACATTCCTCAATCACGAGTTCAACATCACATATAATGACGGGACGAAGGCGACGGGCGACTATGCCAAGGATACTATTCAGTTTGGAGGAGTGATGTTGAGTCAATTCCAGTTTGGCATAGCAGAGGAGAGCACCTCCAATAGTACGCTTCTCCATACGTGGCCAAATCTACATGCACTGACTGTAATGCAGGAGGAACATTGGGTCTTGCATTTCCTGCAATTGAAGCTACTCGCACTGAGTATTCCAGCTTTCCTCAAGCCCTGGTGCAAGCTGGTCACATCAAGTCAGCCACATACAGTCTTTGGATGGAGGATGTAACCTCGCACAGTGGGACGATTATCTTTGGAGGCGTGAACACGGCAAAGTATCTGGGACAGCTGCAGACAATTCCCCTCCAGCCCGCTGGCGGCGTGTACACGTTTTTCCGTGTCATATTGACCGGGCTTGCTTTGCGACAGCGCGCGTCAAACGCAACCAAATATCCAGATACCGAGTTTCCACTTCTTGTCACCATCGATTCCGGAGCAAGCGTGACTTATCTACCCGAATCGCTCACCACGAAGATCTACTCTGGTCTGGGAGTCACACACAACGCTGAGTACGATGTCCCGGTACTCCCGTGCTCCATGAAAGACAAAGACATTACTATGACGTTCGACTTCTCCGGTATCCGTATCGATGTCAATATTCACGAGCTCGTTTTGAGTGGGATCGATATGGACGGAGACACTGTGATGTGCCTGTTCGGCATCTATACGAGTACCAGTGGAATCCCCGTCTTGGGCGACTCTTTTCTCCGTAGCACGTATGTCGTCTTTGATTTAGCTAATCGCGAGGTCTCGATGGCCAACACAAACTTCAATCCCGGGGAGGATGCCATCCTCGAAATCGGGACAGGCAAGGATGCGGTGCCCGGTGCGACTCGGGTGCCGTCGCCGGCCACCACGGCGGTGAATATGCCGACTGCAGTGCCTTTGACGGCGGGAAGAGAGGGAAATCATAGCAATATAGCAGCTAATGTAGAGATGAAAGTGAAGTTGCTTTTCGCTGGCTTAATCGTCTCTCTTATGTCCGCTCCTGTATAGCCTTGTTTGTCGCTTGATGTTACG